TTAAGGCCTTGCTTACATCCAATGCGGTGTTAGCTCATTTTAATGAGCAGTTGCCAGTGTGTCTGGCTTGTGATGCTTCCCCCTATGGTGTGGGAGCTGTGCTTAGCCATCTGACGGCTGATGGGACTCAGGTCCCTGTGGCATATTATTCTAGGACATTGTCTGCTGCTGAGCGTAACTATGCTCAAATTGACAAGGATTTTATCTATGGCCGCCATTTTACGGTCTTTACTGACCACAAGCCTTTGCTGGGGTTGTTTACTACGTCCAAACAAACCCCACACATCCTTTCCCCTCGCATGCTGCAATGGTCCATTTTTTTGTCAGCTTATGACTACTCACTAGTTCACAAACCTGGAAAGGAAATGGGTCATGCTGATGGCCTAAGTAGACTGCCCTTGCCTGCTGTGGAGCCTGATCCTGCTCCTGCTGTGCACATATTGTCCATTCAGGATTTGCCGGAGTGTCCCCTTAATGCTAGGGATGTGGCTGCTGAAACTGCCACTGATCACACGCTTAAATGCGTGCTGACATGGGTGCTGTCAGGTTGGCCTGACAGATGCCCAGAGGATTTCCAACGTTTTTGGGTTAAGAGGCACGAGTTGTCCACGTTCAATGGCTGCCTCCTCTGGGGTTCTAGAGTTGTGATTCTGGCCTCATTGAGGTCTAGAATCTTAGTTTCTTTACATGAGGGTCACCCTGGGATTGTCAGGATGAAAGCGCTTGCGCGCAGCCATTTGTGGTGGCCTGGCATTGATCGGGCCATTGAGGCCCAGGTACATGGGTGTCATGCGTGTCAGCAGTCCAGGCCGGAAATGCCTCAGGCCCCTGTTCATAGGTGGGAGGAAACACACACTCCGTGGTCTAGAATACATATAGATTACGCTGGGCCCTTTCAGGGGCAATTCTTCCTGGTTGTTGTGGATAGCCATTCCAAGTGGCTGGAAGTTGTTCCTTTGTCATCCACCACTACTGCCAAGACCATCCAGGTGTTGAGAAGCATTTTTGCTGCCCATGGTCTTCCAGATGTCTTGGTGTCGGATAATGGACTTCAATTTACTTCTGCTGAGTTTCAGGTTTTCCTACAAGCCAACATGATTCGTCACGCGACTTCCGCTCCATTCCACCCTTCCACCAACGGTCTGGCTGAACGGATGGTCCGCATCGCCAAGGATGCTCTCAAGAAACTGACTTATGGCAACTGGCATCACAGGTTGGCTGACTTCCTTCTAGCCCATCGTACTACTCCATGCACTGCCACGGGTAAGTGCCCGGCTGAACTCCGTTGGGGTCGCCAGCTTGTGACTAAATTGGACAGGCTGCATCCGGAGCGAGTAGCTTCACAGGTGTCCCATCCGCACGCACCACGGGTCCTTCACGTGGGTGATCCTGTCTGGACCAGGAATTACGGGCCTGGACACCTCTGGGTCCCGGCAGTGGTCTGCAAGGTCTCGGGGCCTCTGTCCTACGAGGTGTCCTTGGACGACGGTCGCGTCCTTCGCCGCCATATTGATCAGCTGCGTGTGAGGCTGGACTCGCCTCGTTTTTCTCCTCGGCCTTCTCTAGGGGGGGGAGGAGGAGTGGGGAGTGCATTCTGGGGATCAGTATCAGCAGCCGACACTGGCTGTTGAGGACACCATGGGTACTCAACCCACAAGTTCCACAAGTGCTCCAAATAGGAATTCATGGGGCAGGGGGCAAACATACACCCCCACACTCACTCCAGCCTGGGAGTCACACCGGAGGTATCCTAACTATCCACAACTCAACAGCAATACTCCAGACAAGGAGACTGACTGGGAGCATCCTCATAACTCACAGCATACAAGAGAGCAGGCACAACAGTTTGGGGACTTGCCCTTTTCCGCAATGGCTCACAGAAGAAAGTCCCCACGCATTAGGGCTAACAGGGAGGTATCCTTGGACCCTATCACTACAGAAGGGAGCCAGGAAAATTACACCCCTTCAGGGAACAGGGAGATGAGTTCAGAGGGCTCAGAAAGCTCCCTAAGAGGCAGGTCGACCAGGTACGGAGAACAGCAGAGTCCAGGCTTCCTGAGCCTAGAAGGTGAGCAGGGAGGTCAGGCAGCAGTCATAGGGCAGCCGCAGTGTAATTCACCTAGTGTGGAAAGCAATGGTGGGGACCATTCAATCTCCCCAGGTCCGAGAAGGTTGCTACGGGTCAAAGGCCCGCCCAAATACCTTGCAGATTACGTGAGGTGAGCAAGGGTTAGAGGGACCTGGACAAGAGGTCCAGGTTGGTTAGCTCATAGGAAAAAAAGGAGTCTGGGCTCATTTATTCTCAGAACGATAGCACTACCAATACTTTTCACACTCTGTGCATTTGATGCAAAAGTTAGCAAACACATACTCTACCAAAGGTGGCGTACATGTTGGGCGCAGCATTGTTTTATCTAGGGGGAAGGGGTGTTGTGTCCTGAGCCTGCAGAAGCAGGCTCGGGACGATGCAAGAGTTCCGGGCATTGCAAAAGCTGCCCGGGACCAGACTGAGTGGCGCCGGCCTTGCGCACATGCGCAAGGCGGGAAAAGACTGCCTGCTATTGGTTGTGATTGCCCGGGGATCTGGGAGTATAAAAAGAGGCCTGCGTGCCTCTGCTCTTTTTGGTTGGTAGTTGTAAGAGAGTGAGAATAAAGATCTGTTCTGTAACATGAATTGCCTCCTTCGCCATTTATTTCCGGACTTAACAAGAATCATTAAAGAAAGGATGCAATAGGAGAGACAAAATGACAAAAAATAAAATATTTTTTTAAATTTATTTTTAAAAAATAAATTGAATTGTTAAAATTGTCTGACGGCGAGTTGTCTCGCAGTGAGTTGGCCATAGCGGCTTGTCCCGCGGTGAATTAGCTATGGTGAGTTGGCTGTGGGAGTTATCCCATTCCATACACCTAGCTTGCGATCACATGACTGCAGGGATGCTGCGATGGCTGCAACTTCATGGACCAGACGTAAATCCCCCCTATTCAGTGCCATTGTAGCATTGAACAGTTGTCGAACAAGGAGTGGTAACCTAAGAACTACCTGTACTTTCTACCAGAGCTCCTTCATAAGCTAAAAGCGTCCTTGGAATTGATGCTCAGAAGCTATCTTGTGCCCCTTTTATTTCTGAGTTCCAAGGATCAGTGTCTATTCAAACAACCTGCTGTACTACCGGTAGGTCACTCTAAAAATCCCCAAGCATCTGCAGGAAATCACTTGATCCATAAGATTCCTAGGGTGGAGTATCCTCATTGGAGGCCTGCAGAAAAAAATGATCAGAATATTGACCAGGCAGTGACGGGACCATAGTAAAGATCCACATTTAGATTGATCTTAGATAGGTCCAACTGCTTTATCGGCCTCATTGTGTTGCTGGGTGGGTGGTGATGGTGGAGTTTTGTGGTTTTTATGTTGTGGATTTTTAATCTTGTAATCTATCCGGAGTCACCTGTGTGTGACTCTGGGCAACCATATAAATTTGTTTAGTAAACAATACAATAACATTACTTAGCAAGGAGAGGAGAATTGTGCAACGTTCCTGAGGAGTTCAGTAAAAGGGGACAATTAATTCCGATGTACGACTATTGCATCTCACCTTCCTGCTGTAGATAAATCAGGCAAATCTAATAAGTCTGCGTGGATTGAAAGATCTTCATAAGCAGCTCTTGATTTGGGCTGATAAATCTAGTTTTCTTCCTCTCCATTTGGCATAGAACTGTATTATAGAATTTAACAAGGATGGTTTCTTGGGGGGGGGGGGAGTCTACTAAAGGTAGATTCCCTCAGTCTCAGTTGTTTTCTCACAGAGGAAGTTGGTTGAAATCTGGTCCCGTGGCAAAAAGTGATTTGGGAAGATTAAATGATAGAACCAGGCAAGCTACATCTTCTATTTTTTTTCACTGAACAAGGTTCATCTCAGGGATAAGATGGTCCAATGGATGATGGGAAAAGACAGAATATTGTTTGCAATAGTGGCGAATATCTGCAGCTCGGGTGTAGGATGAGGGTAAAGGTTCGTTCTCCGAGCCTGTGGGTCCCCTAAACCAGGGGTGTCAAACTGCCAGCCCACAGGCCGGATGCATCATAGTGAAACCGCGCCCACCCCTTTGCCGGCAATGGCAAAAAAGTCCAATACGTCGCAACACATCATGTGACGTTGCGAGTTTGACACCCCTGCCTTAAACTCTCCTGAAGTTGTTACCTAGCCTGGTAATGAAATGTTCGGAAACCAAACCACAAGCTGGGAGAACAAACCTTCACCCTCACATAATATTGTGTTTAATTAGGCAATATGGTAAATAATATTGCTAGTTGATACCCTTCCCCAGTCTAAATTGTCTTCGTATCCCTCATTCCAGGTATTATGGACGGAATTACCTTGCCCCAATTTCCATCTGCTGGTGGCTTGTGGCATTCTGGATGCAGAGAGACAGGCTCTTATGAACTCTGGTTTTGGCTTTAACGAAATCCTCAAGGTGAGGGCCGAGCAGATGAAGGCTTTCTCTTACCTCTCACTCATAAGGATGGAACATAAAATCATAGCATAGGTTTGACTTTGAACTCTATCCTTGCATTGACATGTACCATTCACAGTTTCAGTTTACAAGAACAAATACTGAATTATGCTAGTAGCTTGCATCTGAAAAATAAATGGTATATGCTGGAAAACAATGCATTTTTCCACTGAGATTTTCTGTCGTTATGTCCCCTGCTGTTATGCAAAGTTTCTGCTGCTTTGCTTGGTTAAGAAATAATGTATTTATTTCACTATATCTCAGTCATTTTCTAGAAGTCTTTCGCTTTGGCTTTTACATTCATAATTCGTACATGTCTTTTATAACAGTTCCCCAAACGTCTCAGAATATGCATTCTGGTTTACAGGAAATACTTTTTTCTGAAGGATTTTTCATATAGTCCGTTCCATTCTTTTCTGTCCAGTTGAATTTTACATTCATGATTAGCAGAGTGTCTTCTTTTTGTTTGTGTCTTTCCAAAGCATATTAATGAACTTACCATGAAGATGAGCGTGGAAGACATCTTATGCCGGGCTGAGGCAATCTACAGGCAGTTGGTTTCTACTCCAGTGAGTTTTTGCCAGTGAGGCATGAAGCTTTCCTACTGCAGTCTCCTTTCTGGAGCCAATAGGCAGACATCCACAATAAGAGGGAGGTATAAAATAGTGCCCAAATAATGATCCAACCTCCACTGGATTGAAAGAATATTTCCCAACCAGATGTCTTAAATATTTCTAGCTAGTATAGCTGTTGGCTTTCACCTTCAGCATTTCCTGTGTTTGAGACTCAGGCTGAGCAAAATGAAGAGCAACCTGGTGGCTTTGGGACCTGACGTTATTGGGAGACTAAAATGGCTAGGTAGAATGTTGCCCTCCTCAAAACACAAGAAGTGCTCCACCTGTCGTGTGGTTATATGTGTGGTTATTAACAATAGTGCTTACAAGATCTATGGCAAAGTGTTACAGGATGGAGAATTCCCGTTCAGCTGTCAGAATTACGTGGACACCGAGCATGCTCAGTTTTCATTGTGCTGCTTGAGTGTTTTTTCCAAGTTCTTAGAAGTTGCTGATCATGTGCTTTGTGTGCAAATGGCACAATATTATTATTATGGTTCACTGCACAGTCAGCCAGAAGTTTAGGCTGAATTTGGCATTTTATCCACCTATCGAGTCCTTCCCAAGGATCTGGGATCGGTAGATGTTTAGTACAAATCAAGGTATTATATATTTAACCTAATGAGGTTTGGTGTGTGTATCTACACACCCATACATTTGTGCCTTTGAGCCTGTTAGCTCCTGGAACCTTCAGGGACAAGTCCTTGCAGCTTTCTAGTCTCTAGTCTGATCCCTTAACCCCTATATCAAACTGCTTGTAGTATTGTGAAGTAATATATAAATATATACTTTAATCCCTTTTTAATGCTGTCAAACCTAATGGTGATCACATATCTGGTGACTGTGAATAGGTAGTTCATGTAGCATTGTATCAGTTTGTTATGTCCTAGCCTAAAATTTAAGCACACAAAAGACTACCTACTTAACTCTTTTATTGGAGATCCAAGATTTGAAGCCTAAAACTAATACATTTCAAGCAGGGCTTTGCCACTGAAATTGGGTATTTATATGCCATGGAATTTGTGTGCGACCTAAGCATACCATACTAGGGGATGATTTGAACCAGAGGGGGGAAAAGCTGCCTATTAAAGTCTTGGGTTTTCTTTCTGCCAGGATCTACCACGTAATGTGCAAGAACTGCTGGGCCTTTCCAAGAGCAAATCCCCCACCTCCAGCACTGACACAGCCAGCTCCCCACAGCCACTGTCGCCCAGTCAGGTGCAGGAAATGGACTTGACTGACAGCATTTCCCCAAGCCAGCCGGACAGCAGCATCGAAATCCTGCCTGTGGAGGATGCCTCCACCTCTCAGAGCCTGTCTCCGTGAAAAGCTCACATCGCCACAACCATCTTCTTAACACAAGCACTTTAATCAGAGCAGGGGGTGGGCTAGGAGGGAGGCAGGTCAGGGGGCCTTGCAAAGTTATTTTCTTTCTAGAGTCCAAATAGTTGTAGGAATATCAAGTCTCAATCACAGCCAGTGGGCTTAGTGTGCACAGTGTGCCTTTATCTGTAACATAAGGCTTCCTTGAAAAGCCCCAGGTCTTGGCCCAAAGTTGGTTTTCACTTCTGGTTGTACAGTATAAAAAGACAGAAAGGAGCAGGCTAGTAGCTGTCGTCCCATTGGGTTTCTGATTTATATTCCGAACCTCCTAAATCCTGTTTTTGCTGTCTGTCTTGGAACATTTCTTTTATATGTTGAGATTCAATTTTGGGGGCAGCAGCTATTGCTTCTGCCAGTTGAAGCCTCTGCCTTGACTTACAGAATTTAGTTGGAGATGCCCAAGCTATATGCTAAACAAAAATGCAGGAAAGCTAACTAGAAAGTTCCTTAGTGGAAAACTTGAATATTGCAGAGATGTTCTCTCTGGGAGAAACATAGAATCAGAGCTTTCAGGACTAGAGGCTAGAAGGCCCAACTCCTAAGTTATTTAGTATTTTGCCAAGGAATTCCTGTTGATATGCTGCCTTGTGCTTCCTTCCCACGGCTGGAGGTTCATCTCATGCCCTGCTTGCTGTTTTCTCTTTAAAACATGATTATAAATTAACTGCAATACATTGAGGAGGGATGTCAGACTTTGTTCTTCAGTGCCTCTCTAATCCAGCAGGCACGTGGCTCTGAAGCTTTGTGTGCATACGCAGACTATTCTCCTTCCCATCAAACAGCATCTTTCTTGGTCCTTATCTTGCTTCCTTCCCCCCCTTTATAAAATACATTAAAAGTATTCTGTCATTCTTTTGAGTGTGCAGCTCGTTGGAGGTGAACATTGCTTGGCCTGAGCTATTTTACTGGGTGGGCTGAGACTGGAGAGGGGAGGGATAAAAAAGAAGTCTTCAAAAGCTACTCCTTCGCAGAATGGTCTAAGGCCTTTCCAGAGCATGCATGCATTCCTTTTTATCTTGGTGTGCTGCACTTCTTTAAACCCAGTGTGATTGTGGATTACTGCAAGGAACACTTGATTGTGAGACTCACAGCCTCATCTTTTTAATATTTTCAACTGACTCCCTTACATCTTGTAAACACAATGTGTCAGCAATTCAACCCAAACTATGCATGAAATGTAAATACAAACTAGGAACAGACGTAGATACAGAGGAAAGCAAATAGAGAATAAAATTGTAAACAGATAAAAGGGTGATCAGATTGATATATTTTTCTACAATACAAAAGGATTAGCGACATCTTAAAACTACAGTAGCTCAATGTTTAAATCACATGATTGCTTAGAATCAATTACTGTATTTTGTATCTAGATCTTTCTCTCAACACAAAACCAGTCCAAAGGCTGGGGGTTGACACATTTCATTAACTCTGTCTTCTTGGAGCAAAAGTCATTGATGGGAGCCATAGTGGCTTGACCACCTTATATTTAAGATATATCTGTAATTGAAGAGTGTTTGCAGAGGAGGCTCTATGACCTTGACATGTAATTCCATCATTGCTGACTTCTAGTTCAATGTTGCTTTCTTCCCCCAACGAGGAAGCCACTACCTATATAATTAAAACATTTTTATACTGCTATATTTAGAAGTAATAGAGTCAATAGGGCAGCGTCCACTATGAACTGTCATCAAAAGAAAAAGCAGTGATAGACTTATGTTTTGTCAGATCATTGATTCATCAAACAGCATTATTTACATTCAAAATAATGCTCCAGATGTTGGATTACAATTCTTACTAATATTCTCAATCTGGGTAGAATTCACGGCAGGCTACAAGTTGATTTGGTTTAGCCTTCATTAAGCAGTAATTTCCAAAATTTCAAAAGACCTTCCCTGGTTCTACCTAGAATTTGGGACTGGTGTCTACCATTGAGTAAGCTTCTTCCATATCAGCATTGATATAGGGAGGAAAAATTTGATTCCTGGCTTTGTGAGGTAATGAGATGGGTCTTGCGGGAAAATCAGCTTTCTGATTATTTAATAGAAGACTCTCGGAGTTCTCAACTTTGCTCAGTGAAGCAATGTTGAATTTTGAAAGTGTGTCCCATGAAGCTACTGGGCAATGGTGCAGAATGTAGTAGGCCACAGCTGCCTTCTGGGAATTTTTAAATAACTTCTCCAGTCTATGCTCTTGAGAGGGTGAGGTAGTCTACCATCCCAGTACATTCCAGGTCAGATCATGCTTAGATTCTCAGTCTCTAGTGCGCCTATCTGCTAAGTTCTATTTTATTTTTATTTATATTTCATGTTTCTAAACCATCTATCTCCCTCAGAGGGAGGACAGCTGTGGGCCAAGACAGAGCTTGGCCAGAAAGCCAAATGCTCCAGAAAAGTGATCTAAAGCAGAGGTCCCCAACCTTTTGGCCACCAGGGACCGGTTTCGTGGAGAAAGGTTTTTCCACAGACCGGAGAGTGTGTGGTTTTGTGTGCTGCCTGCATCTCATGGATGGGGCTTTGCTTGTTTATGCGGACCGGTTGCTGGCATGCTGCGGCCTGGTACCGGTCCACGGAACCGGGGGTTGAGGACCCCTGATCTAGAGGAAGGAGCCAGGCACTTGTGGCATGGTGATAAGATAGATTCTCCCCATTTTCATACTTCAAAAGCCAACAAGCACTGATCTTGTGGGTTTTCATTGTATAAGTTACAAGTGTTAGCTAGGGAATGAAGTGTAGGAGATATCTTCTTAGGGGCTTGATTTCAGGGGTGTTCACGGCTCAGGGGAGGGGCAGATGTCTGCAGTCCCATGGGGAAGCCCAATTCTGTGCCTTTACTACCGAGAGCGCAAACCTTGGTCTCTGCAAATTTGTTATGTATTACTGTGGACCCTTCCCCCGCCCCATGAGTGAAGAGTAAGGGCCACCAGAGCTTACATTTTTCAGCTGTGCAGCAAACCAGATTCCACTGCAGTGAATGCAGCATTGCTCTACTCGCTTCTCTCTCCCTCCCCCCCCAGCACTGCAGGAGAGCAATGCAGGGAGCCAGTGATGCAGTACTAAATGGCAAATTTGTCCAGGATCACGAAGCTTGGCTGGCTGCTAGGCTTTTCTTGGCGCTTCTATGCCTTCCTTTTTTGTCTTCCTGAAACACCTACCGGTAGCAGTGAGCACTGGGATTTTTTTATTTTTTTAGGGGGGGGGGCAGACGGGGTAGTTAGTTGGGAATAAAAGCATCTGCACAATCCTGCAGATGGGCTACTTTTGGGGTTCTCTTCTTGTACTCCCCCAGTGCTTGCTCTTGCATTTAAAACAAAACTGTGGGTTACAGCAACCAGATTTCCTATATATTATAGGAGGAGTCTGGTAGCACCTTTTCTGATTAACAAATCTGGTTAAAAAGCGTAAGCTATTAGACTCTTTTAGGGTTTTTTGCAACCATAGCTTCGTACACATGTATTACAGGACAGAGTATTCAGCCCGGGATGCCAGAGAATACAATACTCAAATTCCCTCCTGAACAATACTTGGGAATCTTGCCGCCTTTTTCTTCATGTCCGTTACTCCCAGCCATCACCTGATAATTTATTTTCTCTTAAGAGTGTTCCCACAGTAACGTCCCCGATCGCCCTCCCTAACCAGTTATCAAAAGTACCATTTTCCTCTCAGCAAATGTCCCCAACTGCTTTGCCGTTCCTGTAAATACGGGAATCAGGAGTAAATAATACAAATACCTCATTTCAGTTCCAGGAACGAATATAAATTTACAGCTAAGGTAGTTAGGCTGCAAAAATCCAAATAGCCACCAGATGAAGGCACAGCCCAGCTACAATCAATTGTGATCTTGCATCTCATCTACGGTAGTAAAACAGTATTTGAAGGAAGCCAAATGCATTTATTTATCTTGGGCTCTGTCGGGCAGAACTGCTGTGGGATTGAGAGACAGAGAAGGTTTCTTAAAGGGGAAGGTTCATACCTTCAGTCTTAGTTTCTGCATTGCACCAGCTTGAGGGTGATCGAGCTTCTTGCAGGCTAGATCAGTAACTTCTCAACCTCAGCAACTTTAAGATGTGCGGACTTCAACTCCCAGAATTCCCCAGCCAGTTGAAATCCACACATCTTAAAAGTTGCCGAGGTTGGGAAAGGCTGGTCTGGATGCCCTGAATAACTTATTTTAGCGTTCCACTCCTGCTTTTTCTTCAAGACATTCCTGGCATTATATATGGTGCTTTTCCCCTTTTTAAAATCCCCTCGACCCTCAAGATTGCACTGAAAGTATTCCTGTGGAAATGAGTCTAAACATTCAATTATTGGGTTCATGTACCATTGGAAATCAGGTTTGTTCAGGAAGCCATAACTGGGTTTAGATATTGCATTAAATTATAAACCATGATTTATTAGCCATGGGGAGGGGAGGAACCTCACACAATGCACCACCTATAAAACCAACCTTCAGCTCCATTTTTAACTTTAGCACTATATGTAAATTCAATTAATTTAATTGCTATGTGGCAATTTGAATCTGATTTCCAGTCTAATAATCATGGGAGTTGTTATCTCTCCAAATTCAGGGATAGCAGTAAGCTGTTCACATACCTTTTCAGAATTAAAATTGGTTTGGGGTTTTGGTTGGACTAAAAGACCTCCAAGGTCCCTTCCAGCTCTGTTATTCTGTCATTCTGTTATCTTTAAAAAATCTTAACATCTTGGTGCAAAAGTCTAAGAAAATCTTAGTTTTCCTCTTCCTGGTTCCCACATTTTCCTAGTATCTCAACCCATTGAAAGTTTTATGTACATTAATGAAACCAGCTTGCCTTGCAATGATTTTTTTAAAACATATTATTGTGGCAGAATATATACATTACATCTATGTAAACCTAATTATAAATGAAACATCTTTATGGGTCAAACTGGTATTTAAAATGGCAGAAGCAAATCCTTAAGATACACAGTTCTTCCTTGAAATAGCTGAGGAATAAAATTATATGAGCAAAGCTATTAAGATTTAGAGCAAGGGCATGAAGGAGGATTAAAACAGTCAAGATGGTGGCTACATCTGTGCAGTCA